GGTTGTTCCAGCGTTTTCACAAAGAGGACGTCCAAGAACACATAGTTTTTCCAGATTTTCGGCAAAAGGATGCAGGAAGCCCAAGCCAGCAAAAAAGCCGGCAGGGGGAATCGACTCCCCGAAGAGTACGTTTAGTGGAACGTCATCAAATTACCGCGCGGTACGCGGGGGAGGGGGGGGGGTGACGACCGAAAAACCCTACGTAATTGACGTGTCCCGGGGGGGGGACTAAGGGGGGGGTTATCCTCTATCCTCTCTTAGGTATCCGACACGCCGAACAATGTCGGCGGATTCACGGTGGTGGATGGCATGGCGTTCGGGCATGGACAGATTCTGTGCCTTGCTGGCGATGACGTTTTTTGGGGGCCTGCCTCGCCAGATGCATCCTCTCAATGACCTTCGGAAATGTGGGCTGACAAAAGGATTAGCAGGAATGGCATGTCTTAGCCACTTGAAGGCTCATCGAACTCCCAAGCGGACTCCCCGGTCTGTTCAGCTTTAAAAAACAACTAGCCCTTTCCCATTGGCTTTTGTTTATGGAAAGATTCGCCTGCCTCTAGATTAATTCTGTGGTGCCGTCAGATGATTGGTGCTGCCGTGCCTGCTTTGACTGTCGGCCTGGCCGGCGCTATCACCGAGATCCTGTGGCATGGCAGAAAGTTTGGGAAAGTTGGCTAGTGGTGATGGTTGTATTTCACGTTGTCAGTGTCCGATGTTGTGGTTGCTCCTTTCTCTTCACTTCTGAAGTATTTTGGTGTTGGTGCTCTTTACTGTCAGCACCACGGCGGATCTTCGCTGTGCTGTTGCCATGCTCCCTGGCAGGGCCAAGTGAACGTAAGTACATCCCTCGAGTTGACAGCAAATACCAGCGGTATGGCCACCCCATGTTGCAAACAAGCCAGTTAGGAACGAGGGTGCCAATTTCCTTGCGGTTTGCCGTATGCCCTTGATCCATGTGAGCAGGGGTAGAAGCCAAGCACAGTTCGCAAAACGCACTCTACAACTGTTTAAGGTAAAATGCACGAAGCCCTGTGTCAAATGTGAGCATGTTGCGTGCGTTGCGTGCGAAGAAGAGGCTGCTGATATGGCCCGGGAAGCAATGGCCCTGGAAGCATGTCTTCGCTCACATGGCCCAGGAAGCAATGGCTCACGCCATGATGCTTCCAAGGTAGCCATAGGCGAGTCATAGGCGCGAAGCATTCTTGCCAACGTGGTCTGTTAAGCATTTGCTTTACAGAGCGGGCATCTTAAACAATAAACTAGATTCTAGACCCAGCATTAATTTCCAATCATGCCTTCGGGGTAGCTTCCTTGGAATGGTTGCCAAGATCAAGCAGGCACCTTCGTTGTCGGAAAGGTTTCTCGAGCTTCTGCGCAGATTGCGGTGGTGAAAACACCCCTCGCCCTTAGCAACATATGCAAGGGGGGAGTGTACCCCTCCAAATCTTGAAGCTTTCCGCATGTCTTTTTGCGTGTGAAGCGAAGCAGTCTAACCTCAGCTTTTTCGCCAGTCGGGGTTGGGGGGGTTTCGCTTTGAGGCTGATCACCGGCTGCATTTCCGGCATGCTGCCGGTGGCTTTGGCCCTGCTGCCGCGCCTTGGCAAGCAGCGGTCAGGGTCAGGGGGAGCCTGAGAGTTCCGGACCGGCGGACTGGCATTGGACTTTCCGCGTTTTCTTTGGCAGATGTAAACAAAAAACAACCAACCTCAGTAAAGACTGCCCAAACTTCTACATGATTGGGGGGCCCACTGATGGGCTTGGCTTGAGCCTCGCGAGCTTTGAGGCAGAAGATGGAGATCGCTGTGGCAAAGCTGGAGCCAGAGTACCAGAACCTGAAGGCGGATGAGGGATCTGGATTTCGTTTGTGTGTGTGTGTGTGTCAGTGCCTGCGTCCGTCCGTCCGTTCGTCCGTGCTGCGTGCGCCCGTGCATGCGTGCTTGCGTGCGTGTTTGTTTGTTCGTATGTTTGTTGTGTTGAAGGATTTTAAAGGTACACTGACATGTTGGTTTGAAGGGCCACCCAAAGAAACCACCAGTTAATACCATGTCCAGAGCCAGACGTTTCACAGCTTCTTGCCCTCTTAAAGGTCCCGGTTGGGCATGTTGGATGTGTGCCGAATCTTGGCATGTAAAAGGATGTAAAAGTGACATTTGTCCCCAGGGGGATACTCCTTTCTCATTTCCTTGTTATTTCCACGGGGTACGTTTGGTGAGCGAGCCAGAATCCAAACAAAGGTAGGCCGCACTGCACGCTTCGGGCGACGACTGTGATGCTGAATGTTTGCACTGCAGCGTATTGCGTCGTCCACCCAACAACTAATAAGTAATGCACTCTCTTTGCCCCCCTCTCTCTCTCTTTCCCTCTCTCCCTCTCTCCCTCTTGTCTGTTATTTTTCTCCTCCCAAAGCATGGAAGAGGCCCGAGAAGCAACCCCCAAGCACAGAACCACCATTGGCCTCAGGACTCGAAGGGCCAGCCCATCACCAAGGCGGGGGCAAGCCTGTGACGTCCAGACGTGCTTTGGTCAGTGCCCCCTGCTCGTTTGTTCCAGACAGACTTCAGTGGTTGACTCGCTTACGCGCCAAGCCAGCTGGAGAACCCATCGACCAAAGTCCGTCACCGTGAAAGTAGGCAAGGGCCTCTAAGTTTAGTTAGCCCAGTTGGCTGGCCTTGAAAAACCCACTTCCGTCATGAGCTGTCCTGCCTGGAGGTCTATGCTAACAAGGGCCTGTAACGGCTTGGGCACCTTGGCCGCAGCCGAGCCCACTGGGTATATTGAACTTAATATTGTTTGGGTTCGCTATACTGCTCTTGGGGTTTCCCTTTCAACCACGGAGCGTCCTCGTGTCTTGGGATTGGTAAGTTTTCCTCCCCCCGCGCAGCCGGTGAGCACGTGCTGGGCCCATTTCAACATGCCTCTTCCCCACGTGTCTATGAGGACATTGGAAGGCAGGCGGGCTGGGGAGTAACTTGTCCGAGGGGACGTAGGCCTTTGTGGTCAAAAGAACGTTCAGCGATATGCTGCATGCTCGCTTGTAAACAGAAAGGGGTGCCGTGTTCGAGAACATATGAGAGCGTTTTTTGCCCTCTCCTCCCAGGACCCCAGGGCATGCAGCACCATCGCACGTTAGTAAGAAGCACAACCGTCCGGCATGTCGAGAAGGGTTTGGCCAGGAGAGGAAGTAGGGGCTGACTTTCAGTTTGATCTTCGGCTGCTGAGGCAAGTGACGGGCTGCGCATGAGCGCATGGGCCCAATTTCAGGTACGCGCTTGGGGCCGGCGACTTTTTTTCTCCTGGCACACCCTGTCTACGTTCCCCAGTAGTGCCCTTTTACCCTTTCTTGTTTTTTCTTGGGGGGGTGGTTCCCCTACTAAAATAGACGAATTTCAGAGAAAACGGCACCCTTATTGTAGCCTCTCTACTGGAGGAACTAGTTGTTCAGTAGGTGCTTCCTTACTCTGCAGCACAGTGTTTAGGTTTCAAAGGTATGATGTCATATCAAACTGCCTGGAAGCTGGATGACTTGCATGATGGACAGGCGCACTTGGCTTGGATTGGGGAGGTGGTTGGGTGATTGGCCCCTTAAGACGGGGTAGTGCTATTCGGATCTGTAGCTCCCTTCTAGCGGACCGTCGTATCCCGAACCGCCTGACTAGGCGACCCTCACGTAGAGGGGCATGGTGTGCAAATTGTTTCGGAAGGTGTATATGGTCGGCCAGCGGGAGAAGGGACAATCCTCGTGACCCCACTCGGTGGAGCCCTTTTCGGTCAACGAATGCCCGGCCACACTGTTGGGGTCCTGAACGGTTGGGGCGGTAATATAGTTGGCAGGGTCCCTGAAAATTGAATTGAGCCAAGCTTGAATGTCATGTAAATGAGCCTAAAGCTCGCCACGTTTGCACCAGCGCACCTGTGGTACGGCAAGCACTTGTCGCGGCCTCCCAAATCCCGTTTTTTCTGCCGAGCTCCTCACCAGGTTTTGCGGGCCCATGGGTGGGAACCTGCGTTCTTGCTGAAGCTTCAATTAGAACATTAGAAGAGTGGGTTGCCTGTGTGGACGTAGTAGGATGAATGCCGGAGTATGCTGTCAGACATCCAGGGATGTTCCCAGGAAGGCAGCAGCAAAATACCTTGTGGCACTTGTGGCCTACAGCAGGACCAAGCCATGTTTGCACCTCGATGCAACTACCACAAACATGCGGTCAGCAGTGTCAGCGCCAAAGCCTGATTTTATGAGGAGCGGCAAGAGCTCAGCCACTGAAGCCAGGCATTCATGCCACAGGCTTCACAGTGTTGGTTTCGATGTAGGGTGCTTCACCACGCAAGCAGCCTAGGATCGCAGGGTCCATTGCTTGTGATTTGTAACAGCCAGGTGTCGCTTTTGGTGGCCAACTGATGACTGAACTAGGCAGAGTGCGTCACAGCCCGGGACCCTGCGACACAATCCCTCTTAGACGTTGTTTTCCCCAGATATTCGGCCACACCGCCGGCTTTTGGCCGCTGGCCACAAGCGCATGATGGAAAAAGCCCGTCTGACCAGCTGTTTTGCATGTGCCCATTGCTGGCATTCCCATGACTCGACATGAAGGGTGTATCAGACAGTTTATGCACAGAAGCAATGTTTAGTCTAGTCGCTGTTTGGAGTGCTTCTGGTATTCCAGTCCAGGTCTACAACCCTTCTTTTGGGTGGGCTTTGGTATGTGCTACATGTGCTCTTTCCGGGTGCGCCAATCGCACGCTTCCTGCCCACAATGTCATGTGTGTGTGTGTGTGTGTGTGTGCATTGTTTCCAGATCAGGGCCATCCTAGACCCGACCCCAAAGCACAGGTCAGGAGAAAGGCCGTTGGTGAGGATAGGCGGTCAGACATGCCGAGGTTCCGCTTTTATGTGAACGCGGCACGCCGCGTGCCGATGTCACAAGACCCGATTGCTGGGCGTAAGTACGGGACAGTGGACGCGTGGCAGAGAATATCCTTCCACTGACTTGAGGAAGCCCTGGCCAAGAAGGGAGGTTGCCACACTTTTAGAGGGTTCCTTCATTTTCTTCGGGGGGGTCCATCCTGCCATTTGGAAAGGCTCTTCTCCAGAGCTGTGCGGCTCAAAGGGGACTTCCGCAAGCCCTCAGCTTTTTTCACCGAAACTCCATTCGTGTGACATGGCGCCTCGCCTGCGTTGTCCGCATTCTCGTTCGAAGGGCGGTGAAGCACTTGCGGATTGCCCTTGGTACATGATCCAATCAATGACGAAAGCCAGGCTGAAAAGCCCTTAGCGGAGTTCCTAAGGTGAAGCAAGCGAGAAGGGGGCCTGCTGTCTTGGCAGATAACTGGGCAGGTTCCAGCGGTTTTATGATAAGCACGTTGCTTCGTGTGGTGTATGCTTTTTCAGGCCGCTAGGCTGAGCCCGTTCTAACCTATGACTTTTGCCTGGGGAGGTGTCCGCGTGCAGCTGCAATTGGCTAGCTTCAGGATAAACAAACTAGTCTACCCCCCCCTCCCCCCAAACCACTCCTGCAATTTGATTCTTGTTCAACTCTCGCTTTGTTTGCCGAGGGTGCTTGTTGTTGCCTTGTTCACCGCAAGAAGACTATACACGTCTCGTTCTAGCAATATCAAGTTCTGGTCTTCAATTCATTTGGCCCGTGTCGGGAGCTTTCGCTTCCCTTGCTCAGTCTTCTTTCAGCGAGTCGGGTGACTGCACTCGTGCCTACACAGCTTTGGTATCCATTGCCTCGAGCTGCCAGCGTTACAATCTGTCCAGCTTGTTAGCTTGTTGCCATTGGAATGACCCGCTCCATTATTTGAGCTACATATTGTAGATGGATGCTGCTCAATTGCTTGCGTGTGTGCGTGTGCGTGTGCGTGTGCGTGTGCGTGTGCGTGTGCGTGTGCGTGTGCGTGTGCGTGTGCGTGTGCGTGTGCGTGTGCGTGTGGGTGTGGGTGTGGGTGTGTGTGTGTGTGTGTGTGTGGGTGCGTGCGTGCGTGCGTGCGTGCGTGCGTGCGTGCGTGCGTGCGTGCGTGCGTGCGTGCGTGCGTGGGTGTGTGTGTGTGTGTGTGTGTGTGTGTGGTTGACACTTCGGTCCGAGTCACATCTCTTGATGTTTTGCCTTGACACTGCCTCCAGCGCCAGGCAGGTCGCCCTTTGCTCCTGCTGCTGGCACTGAGCCAGGCCCAGACCGGTGATGTTTGATGTGGGGTCCTTACCGGTATGGTTGCTTTGGGAATGAGCTGGGGGGCGACCGATGAATTATCACGGCCCGTTATGGCAATTGCCTCCCGCCTCTCATGTGGTGCGTCTTCAAAATAAACATGCATAGGCTTGCATGGATATCATGTGCATGAGATTGATATTTGTGTCGTTATGTTTGACTTTCGTTGTTCATGCTTGCACACATGTTCGCCACCAGTTCTGTTGGATTTTGTTGCAATCCGCACTAGACGAGAACTGGAAGAGTGTATCGCTTCTAATATGCGCATGCGTGGGCTCGGGGAGGTGGTTTTGCAATATGCCCACAAGTTGCGTCATTGCAATGATCCTTGATGGGCTCAAGTCTCTAGAGCGAAGTTTGACAGCCTCATAAAGTCCCCCCTCTAATCATGGCACCATGGCCCTTTCCAGCACTTCAAACTTGAAGCGCAATGTCCTTTTCTTTTGCTATTGCAGTCCTACTGGCCAGACAGGAAGGAGATGGAAGGAGACTCGATTAGTCAGGTAGGAGCGGGCCGTCAGGACCCAGCCGGCCTTGTTACTGTACATAGCCGGGAAGGCGGCGATATAATTGGGCGAACATTACGGCACTACGAATAGAATTGGTCAGCAGTTGCGGGTTACCGGGAGCCGTTGTGCATGTCTTCGCCGAGCCCTCCCTAGCTCTTGCAGTTGGCATTCTGGCAAGTTGCGGGCATGAACCCAGAGTTTGACATGATGCCGTGCGAAACGCAGCATTAACCTGCAAGTCAACGGACCGCGGGGCGAGTTATATAGCCATGTCAGATTTGAGAGGTGGTGGCCTGAGCCGCCCTACAAGTTGGGGCCAGACAATGTGATGAGCAACGCTCGCTATTCACTGGAACCTACAGTCGGTAGCAGAGACAGTACCAGCAATAGTGGCAGGAGTAGCAGTAGCAACAGCAGCATCGGGAGTAGCAGGAGCAGCAGGAGCAGTAGAGCATTGGCAGCAGCAGCAGCAATAGCAGTTGCACTGGCCACAAGTGAATATTGACCGTGGCTCACATGTGCTTTAATGTGTATGCATGTAATGCAACATGCGGGGTTTGTTGCCGCTTAAATCCTGGTTCCGCGCGCGCCATGCAGCTCACCCAAAAATATGAAATTCCCCCAGTGAAGCCCGTTTGATTATTCTGAGATCTGATTTCGTATGGAGAAGCTCATTTAGTCGCTTGATGTCACTTGGCTGCCAGGCGCACAAGCAGCTCCAGTGCGAGGACTGCACGCACCGCCGCTGGACACAATGTGGGTTCCGGGGCCATGGGGAGAACGCAGGTGCCCTCAGCATGGGTGTGGGTTTGTTCAAGGTGAAAGTTTTGAAAAACATGAAACATCTCATTGTCGGGATGAGCGTTTGAAGGAAGACTGCGCAGCCAAAGCGCAGGGACAGTACGTCAACAAAGCCGAACTGGCACCGATAGATCAGCACAGACATACAACATGTTACAAGTTCGAGCAGAAAGGTCAACGGGTGTCTCGTTTTTTCTGCCAGGGTTATCCTTTCAAAGCCAATCCGTTTGTCAGATAAATAGATAAATGGGTTCCAGAGAGCGCAAGCAAAAGCAATACCTTTAGTGAGGCATGCCAAGTTTCTCCCCAATACTGCGGCAGGACTGCGTTTTGCTGAAATTTGGGGGGCTCTCGCAGAGGTCCAGATGAGACTTCGATGCTGCAAGCCCAGCAAGCCCAGAGGCAACATGCGGGGCACCAGCTTCCTCATGTGGAGGCGGGCGATGGACCTGGGGCCTTTCCATGTGGGCGACTGAAACGTAGCTTGTCTTCTAGGTGCAGGCGAGTTGCCTGCGGTTGCTGATTCAGAATGAGCCTCCTCACGGGTAGGGGAACTCGGAGGCTCGTAGGATCCTCGCTGTTTCTCTGCTGAATCTGGTTGCCAGTTTATAGATCAAGCAATCGCAGCCTTTGATCACTTCATGGCCGTGGTTCCATAACGGGCCCGCATGCCTTGTCTGGATTGAGGAAACAGCCGCCGATGCGGCATGCACCGGCATTGTCTTGTTACCCACCGTGCTCCCATTTCCCTAAATCATGTAGCGATGGGCCTGTGCCAGGAGTGAAGCTGGCTGGCCTTGCTGACGTTTTGTGCATTGCTTGCCCTGCAACAATGGCATGCTGCCTGCCTTTCCGGGCGAGTGCGTAGCATCACTTCCATGATGATGGAAATTATGTCAGTCCTGGCTTGGATGCAAACATGTCACCCCCCGCGCGCCTGTGTGTGTGTGTCAATTGGGTCCTTGCAGCTCGCAGATTCGTTCTCCTCTTATTTCGGTAACACACCGGCGACAGGCTGTTTTTTTTGCCGGCCATCCATGATGGTAGTGGTGGCATGTATATAGCTCCTTTAGCCTAAGGGAAGGGGCACGCAACACTGGCATGATACAAACAGGCATTACACCTATGATTACCTACAATGCACATGTGCACAAGTTCATTGCAGTTTGGGTTGCATGTTGCACTCGCCATGGGAAGTCACCAATCCTTTGCCCTGCACACTCTTTAGACCCAATGTCCTGAAATCACTCGGGGCTGTGTCTCACAAATGGGGTGCATTTGTTGGCCGAAGAAATGACTTGGGGGAATTTGCAGGAAGTGGGTGTAGGTTCACGGTGTGACTTTTGACCGGAGACCGACTGCTTTGCTGTCGCGTTTCAGGCGACTATTCCTTCAAGGCTTCTGAACACGAAGGACGGCCGCTTGAGCCATCATAGCCACACTCACGCAAAGGCAGGAGCTGTATGGGGGGTGGTGCTCCAACATGCTCTCACATTCCATTATATTAAGTAATGCTACACTACATTGCACTACATTGCACTACATTACGCTACATTACGCTACGTTACATGTGTGTGTGTGTGTGTTTGCATGTGTATGTGCGTGTGTGTGTGTGTGTGTGTGTGTGCGGTGGGTGGAAAAAGTTACCCTCGCAATCTCCGCTTCAACAGCGTTGACAGACAGAGCAAAGCTGGCCAAGCGTTGCAGAATGGTGGCATCGTGCTTGTTCAGCCTTGTTTCCGAAAGCTTTTGCCTAATGTACTTCAAGCCTGCGTCTTCTTCCAGACGAAGGGGGAGACATGTCAACTTTTGCATCGTTCTATCGCGGAACCCAGTTTCGCACGCAACTGCTTTGCTTTCACCATGCAAGACATGTCATGGATTGGTTTCTTTTGTGTCTTCAGTTTTGCGTTTCCAAGGCTTCGAGCTTGCCACGTACCATAAGTTACCCAGGCGGAAAGGAGGACTCTTTCAGGTCATTGTGTTTGGCATTGGTTTCCATTACAATGCCGTCCCTTCAAGGGCCTAGTTTCGGCACACAGCCGATGGTGGTGTCGGGGTGTGGATCCTTCAGGTCCGGCCTTTGTGTTTTTACCAAAGCTTCAAAATAAGTTTGTGTGGGCAAAGTTTCAAAGCGGGCAGGTGGTAGACGACACCGACTATCGAGAAGACGCCCGGGTCAGAGGAGAGCCGCTGGCCCTGCAGGGAAGAGGTAGTTCCAGCCCACGTTGCTCTGGGGACAGGGGCTGGGGCACTTTTATTGGTCTTGCTGCGATAAAGTGATTTGTCCCATGTGCCTGGTACTTCGTGTTTCCTGTATGTTTAGTTGTGTTTGGGGTTGAATACCTTTTTTTAGGAAAGGGCCTTGCCGAGATGGGAATTCCAGTTGACAGATTAGATGAAAGGGACGATTTTTTGAGGCAGTTGGCACACTTCTTCCCTGTTCTGTGAGCCAATATTAAGGAAAACCGAGCAGATAGCTCTTAGAACCCAAGGGATGCCTTTGCGCTCGTTTACATCTTCGGTATGCCCCCTGCACCCCAACAACAGTGTTGCCGTGTCTGGGCCGATGATGCAGTTGTGTTACATGCAGGACGCAAAATTCGGTTAATTAATGACGTTTGATTCCCAGAGTCGTGTGACGGCGCCATGCTGAACTTGGATACCAACGTTCAGGGGGTGAAAAGAGTTTCACCGTGGGTGTCGCGCTCTTTGGCAGAGCATAAGGCAAAGCATGGGCGGAAGCATTGGGTGTCCTTTGGTGTCCTTCCAGGTCTGTTTGGATGAAATGCAATGGCACCGGTGTCTCTTCTTTTTGTTTGGTTCCTTCCCAGTGGAACCCATCAATGTGTCCAAAGGACAGTTCATTTCAGTGGCACTCTCTACCTTTCGACTTTCTTCAAAGCACCTGTGGTCTTCAAGCCGAGCATGTGGACATGCGAGGCAAGCCATGAAGCAGAGCCTGGACGAGCGATGCTCTCTGAAGCGAATGACGCTCGAAGAGGCGGACTGGCGGTGCATTCGATCTCTTTCGTTCAGAGCCTCTTCAAGGAACCTTGATAGTTTCCTGGTTGCCATTTTAGTCTGCAACAGGCCAGTACCCAAGGGGCATGCCTGCGGCTCGAACGCAAGAAGCCAAGGGTTTTCGCGGTCGCAACTGTCAACTGCCTCACTTTCCTGCCAGGCCGCCCCTGCTGCTTTTATAAACCAATGGCACTCACAAGGTGTTGTTCGGCGACCTGACCCCCCCATCTGAAATGAACAAGACTGGAACGGGTCTTGGGGGGGTATCTTGCCATCGGCCAGGTTCACCATCGGTGGGCCGAGCTGGTAGCTGCGGAGAAGGCAGGGAGATTGGACAAGACATAATAACAAAATGTTGGCAAGCATGTACGTGGGGTTGGGACAGAATGTATGCAAGATCATGCCAACTTCTATCAAAGCCAAGCTACGGAGCGTTGGTTTAAAATCGGAAATATCGACCAACTGGTCTAGAAAATCGGCCTGAATGTCGTCGTTGGGACAGTTGAGGAATGAGATAGAGATTGCGTTTCATACTCAGCGACCCAACTGGCAGTAGCGAGGCGGTAATTGACAATTGCAGATGTTGTACATTGGTAGCAGAGGTCAATTCAACCTGCGCGCTCCTGTGATTCGTTGGTTTGAACTACCCTTTCTCGGATTGTTGAAGTGCGAAGACCATCATGCAACGTCTTCGTAAATAGAGGGATTTGGTTTAGGCGTGCAGGCTATTTATGCTGGTGCACCTTGCAGCAATGCTTGTGCCTCCACAATTTCAATCGCTTGCTTCCTACATCATGCTGGGTAATTTTCGGAGTTTACCTTGTCTGAGCCTCAGCGGCATCGGTTTGATTTTTGCACAAGGATAGCAGCTGACTTGTTGAATGCCGGAATGTTCAAGAACATGGTGACATTTCATGATTGGCATCACGACCCTTGACCAGGCCAAAGTCGGCCATCTGACGATGGACAAGATGGAGGACAGCTCAGCCAAGTGCCAGGGTCCATGTCACGCGGTCGGCTGGGCGGGCCTTTGGCCTCGAAGGACCTGCGGTTTGCCTTCAACTCGGTGCTGAACAACAATCAGCCGGTAATGGTTCAGGCGTGGGGCACGATATCAGGCACTCAGGAGACTGCCCCAAACTGGTCGAGGCGGTACTTGCGAGATGCACCACCCACCCAAGGCTTCGAATTCCGTCCGTTTGCCTTGCTTTGCTCCTCCGGCCTTATTGTTGCTCCTTTCTTTCCGTTTTGCCTCCAGCGTTGCCTTTGCACTTGGCTGGCCCCACTTTGCCGTTGTCTCTTCAGCCATTGTGTCGGGTAAAAACACTGTCCTACTGCCAACATGGTGCCACAGTGCATTATTGTGTGCATGCTTTAAGGCCAGACAGGTCCAGCACAGAGTGATCAAACTATATGGACATTGTCCAGGACATGTTCGCAACATGTCTGCATTTTGCTTGACCTATTGGCACATAGGCACAGTTCTGGAAGGGTATGTTCAACGCATCTGGTTTTATGAGCACACTTGCAGTGGCACTTGTTCCCTTGAGTGGCCCCTTTGATAGGTGTGTGTCAAAAAAGGGACTCGAGCCCTCCCGAAATTGCGGCATTCCTTGTTGGTTTCCCTTTAGACCACATCCGTATGATGAATCAACCGCCTTGTGCGAGCCGGGTCAAACCTGCAACCTGTCCCAAGCTGAGGATGTGCCAAGGCAGCTGGGCTGGCACGCTGCAGGGCACTGGGGTGCTGAGACTGGCCTGCAGTTATGTGGGTTTTTCGTTTTTAAAGCGGAAGCTCTTTGGTGGACATCTTTTGTTTTTTTTACATGGGGGATTTATGGTCATCAACCATTTTTTAGGGCATGTGTTTGAGAAGCTGGCACTTCCAACAGATGGACATGGAATCCCCAAACACAGACGAATGCGTAGTCATGACCACGAGATGGCGCCGAGAGAGAGAGAGAGAGCAAAAGAGAGAGAGGGAGAGAGAGAGTGAGAGGGAGAGAGAGAGAGAGAGAGAGACCTGTAACAAGATAAAATTTGGGCCCATATCTTATCTTACGGTCGGGTGTGCCAAGCGGTTCGGGTGACTTCGCCCCGGAGATGTGAAGGCCAGGATTGCAAGTAGCTCAAGTTGCCAGCGGGCAGCAGTAAGGGTGCAAGCCCAGGCTCTGCAAGGATTCGTTGCCCCAGTCCACCCGGGGAACGTTTAATGCTTTCTTGTTTTTGCAAACGCTATGTTTTGTTGACAAAACATGGCACTTCGCGCGTGCCTACCTGAAAGATGCTTCCAAGCATCTATTCCTGCGCTTTTGGCTCAGAGCCCTATCACATTGCTTTGCCGTGAATTTCTACAGAATACCAAGTAGAGAGCAAGGGGAAGCCTGCAATTTTCTGCATGTTTTTGTGATATAGCACTGCGTGTTTCGATGGCCAAGGAAGAGCTGTCCAAGTTCCTGGGGGACCACCAATGGGAAAGGCTGGCCAGGGTTGGGGTTGCTTGCGTGGGGCCCTCATTGGATGTATCTGAATGTACCCTGCACACTTTTGCATTCTTGGTAGACTTAGGAAATGTACGTCTGATGTTTCCCACTGTTGGGTTGGACTCAGGGCTTTGCCGTATCACGGTGCCAGCCTTGTGAGGATTGTTGCATGTCCTTCCAAACAACCAGGGGCACACACACACAATGCGCCCCGAACATAGTGTGACAGCAGGTTTTGTTGCAACAATATGTAAGTTGGTCTTTCGTTAGTAGATGCAAGGCCTGGGCACATGAATCATGAATCGGGTTTACTGCGCTTCTCATCTTTCGGCGGGGCATTTGTGGTTTGCCAAAGCATTGGTTGATTGGCTAAACAGATGTCAGATTGTCAGATTGAGCTTGGTGGCACACCAAACTAATCCACACCAAACCACACCACACCAAAACAACACCAAACTAAACCACACCAAACTAAACCACACCAAACCAAACCAACTAAACCAAAACAAACCCAGCCGAACCCAAACCGCCCAACTTGTTCAGTCTCCAACGCCACAAAAATATGCGCCCTGAATCCAGGGAGTTTATATATATATATGTATTTAATGATAGCAGGATGGCCTCAAGCCCGCGCGCTGCCAAGAGCCCAGCCCTTGTTCAGTTGATGTCTTTCGCGAGGGGAAAGGAGAGACAAAGGGAACTGAGACGGAATTGTTGGGGGCCCCCTATGTTTCAGACATACGCAGTTTTCCATTGTTTTTGGAGCAGAGCATTGGACGCAATGTTGCTTTCAACCCTTTGCGTTTTCCAAGCAAACGGATGCACGTGTTTTCTCATGTCTCAACTTCAAGCGGTCATTTATTGCTTTTGGTGCAAGAGATGTGTTCTTGTTGTGTGCAGTGTGCAGATGTGTATGTTTGGTTTTGTCTTTTTTTGCGAGGGAACCTTGCTTTCGGCGTTGACGCTGGGGGGCCACGTTTAAGATCCGGCAGGCAGTCCTTCGACTATCCTGCCGCGTGGACGCAGATCTGTACCGAGAGCGCATGTCAGCATGCGAGACCGGTTGTGGTCGATTGGGTTTTAGGTTGCCGCCTTCTGAGAACCAAGGGTTTCCTTTTGAAATCTGGGGCCGCAGAGTAGGTTGTTGTCCACAGCCATTGGGGCAAGACAAACTGAAAGTAGCTCACTCAGCATCGTTTACACTCAGTGCTTGTCTGGCGTTTACTTTGGTTATCCCACTTGGGGTTTGTGCGGTGTGTGGGAGCATGGCTTAATGGGTCTATAAGGACTGGATCTTCGGCCTGAAGAACTACACATCCTTGTCTGGTTACCTGAAGAGGCATGAGAGCACCTTGGCAGGCTGGAAGGCCGTGGCAAAACCCAAGCGTGGCTTAGCAAGCGCTCCAGTTTAGTTTGGCATTGTTTGGGTTTGGGAGTGGCTGAAAGTGCATCGTTGCTTCACTGATCTGGATAAAGTTGAGCCATTCGCTTCCAATGCAGAAACCCACACGCACAGGTAGAACGAGCAAAGTGAAGTGCCTGTGTTTGAATTGGCGGATGCTTTCTTTGGGCATGGATTCCTGGATGCCCTATTTCCGGCTTGGGTGCTGCTTGCCATTGGACGCCCCCGCAATGGCCCCGGCAAGCATCCCAAAAATGTGCTTTTGCGCAGTATCCGCATGCTGAAGGCAAGCATGCGGATTTGCTCCTTGCAGTAAGCTTACTGTATCCGCTTGTTTGCCCTGCTTGGACTTTACAAACATATATATATATACATAGTAATAGGAAGATAAATAAATATGTACATATATATATATATATATATGGGTTTGTCCTTTTTTGGTGTGTTGAGTTGCTTCAAAAGGCAGAAGGTGGGACCTCCCCGAATCATACCCCCGAATCATAGCCCGAATCATACCCCTGAATCATACCCTTTAAAACGTATGCTGCAAGATGCTACTGTTCTTCTACCGTTTTGTGTTGTTCACTGTCTCCACAACAACCACCACCAGAGATACCCAATACTACCACTACCACTGCCACTACTACTACTACTGCTACTACTACTACTACTACTACTACTACTCCAGTTACTACTACTACTGCTACTACCACTACTACTACTACTACTACTACAACTACTACTACTGCTACTGCTACTACCGCTACTACCGCGACTACGAGTATTACTACCACTACCACCGCTACTACCGCTGCTACTACTACTCTACTGCTTCTACTTCTGCTTCTGCTACCCTTACTACTAACTACTACGACTACAACCTTGACTACTACTACTACTACAACAACTACTACTACGACTACTACCTTTATTACTACTACTACTACTTGTACTACTGCTACTACGACTACAACCTTGACTACTACTACTACTACTACTACTACTACTACTACTACTACTACTACTACTACTACTACTACTCTACTACTACTTACTACTACTACTTCTACTACTACTATTCCTGCTTCTGCTGCTGCTGCTGCTACTACTCACTACTACCACATACATCATTCTGAGTCTGTAATCAGTGCCGTTTTGCACCTAGCCGAATCATACCCGTGAATCATACCCGAATCATACCCGGACAATGAGCTTCCCCTGCAAAGGCTAGTGCTAAGTCTTTTTCACCGCGTCCGCACCACTACAGCCGCTGCTGCTTATGCTACAGCTGCTACCACTACTTCTGTAACTGCTACTACTACTACCACCACTACTACTGCTACTACTACTACTACTACTTCTACTACTACTACCACCACTACTACTGCTACTACTACTACTTCTACTACTACTACCACAGCTACTACGAGTTTGTAATCAGTGCCGTTTTGCACCTGGCCGAATCATACCCGCGAATCATACCCGAATCATACCCGCGCAATGAACTTGCCTTGCCAAGGCCAGCGCCAAGTCTTTTCAAAGCTTCCGCGCCACTACAGTCGCGGCTTCTACTGTACTACTACTACTACTACTACTACTACTACTACTACTACTACTACTACTACTAGTGCTACTACTACCTTTTATTACTACTACTACTACTACTACTACTACTACTACTACTACTACTACTACTATTGTTACTACTACAATATTGCTACTAGTACTACTACTTCGGCAACTACTGCTACTACTACTACTACTACTGCTGCTGCTGCTGCTTCCGCGAATCATACCCCCGAATCATACCCCCGAATCATACCCCGAATCATACCCGCGAATCATACCTGCGAATCATACCCCGTACTCAAACCTTCCTGCCCGGCCACCCTAAAAAATACAAACCCATATATATATATATATACGAAGCTTTGTCGCTAACCGCGGCCCCAAAGTACGTAGTGCAGCCATTGTTGCCTGTGCCACCACGCCATGAGAATGCGGCTCCGGCAAAATTGCTTCTCACGCTTGCCAGGGAGATCAGTGCAATGGATAATGTCCTGATGGGCTTTTGAGACCCCAAGCTCGACTTACAACCCTTCGTTCAACACTCCCAGGTTTCCTCCTTCCTATGGTCCTCTATGCTTGTCTAGAGACGGGGGGAGGTGTCAGCAGCGCCATGTCTCTGCGCACAAGTTGTGCATCTCAGAGCAATCCCATCCGGAATGACACCCCCGATGTGACCTCTGACTTTGGGGCGGCCATTCGAATTTGGTTTTGTCCTGCTTCAGGTATTGTGTGCCCACCGTATGCATGTGGCAAGCATCTTTTGACGTGAAGACTGTTCGGCGTGACAAGGTTCCACGAACGTCTTCCTCTTCGCCAGTGAGCCTGGGTGTGACGAGAACAAGGTGCTGAAGAGCACGGTGGATGTCATTCGAGGCTCGAGCGGGCTGTGGGGCCGTGGCAGCTTGAACCACGCAATAAAACTGTTTGCTTCAGGAGTTGAAGAGGCAAAGGCAGCACTAAGCTGAGCCTTGCAGGTGAGGATGGCTGACCATATGCAACCTTGCGTCTGACAGCAATGTGCATGCGCTCCGGTTGCTCGGAAATCGCAGTGCCATGCAGAACACGAGGCCAGGTGCAACCAAAAAGGTACATCAATGGGCCAATATCCAGCACAATATTAGTATATCTATATGTATAGATAAATATGCACATACATACGTGAGTGGTAACAGGACTCAGGACCGATTGGAACAACAAAAAAGGGAACTTGCTCGCATGCAGTGCGTTGGGGAGGCGAAGGCACCCCATTGCGCGGAGGCCACATCACCCCGAGCCCGGACTTCGCCTATGGCCCTGAGTGGTGCCAGGCGATTATCGCCATCGACGGCATAGGACGACGGAGTGGGCCGGGAAAGCCCTGACTTAGTTTTTCCACAGCGGGCTTGCGCTGATTGTGGGCACGCAGGTTGCAGTGGCTGGGCTGAATGTCATTGTTTTTTGCATATACGCTGGACACTTTCTTTGCAGTGTGAGCTGAGCTTGGTTTGTGCCTATGCAAGTCGTCAGAAAGACAAATACAAAGGGTGGAGCAACTTCGCTTAGAACAGTGTCCATGCATATAGTCTCACCTCAGGTTTGCACTCGCCCGATGAGCACTCGGATCAGCGCCTGTTGGTTTGCTGGAATCCCCTTGGGCGTCATGAAGTAGTCATGGCATGGCCTGATCTTTCCACAGCCGAGAAGAAGATTGCAATTGAACAGACTACGCATATTTACTAGGATCTCCCAAGATTTCACTGACTTAAGCGATCGCTTCTTACACACGTATGTGCACACGGCCAAATATGGGCATGCCGATGGTGCATTCGTCTAAGTGGGTTTTCACCGAACCATGAGACAGTGAGCACAGCAGCCGAAACAGCGTTGCAACTTTGGCTGGTCAGCACACGCACCTCGAGCCCAGTGTCAACCCAAACACGGAATCCGACAGGCCTCTTTTGGCATTCCAATGCTGCTTTGAGGGCAAGTATGTCGATTAGATTGGGTGCATGTTTCTAGCTCTGCAATCGGTGCCGTTGGGTGAGAGTGCAGGTCAGCAAACGAGGCCGAGGAATTTCTGTGTTTTGTGTGCTTGCTTGTGTGTTTCATGCCTGCCAGGAGCCTCTCACGGATTCCACAATCACGACCCCGTTTGGAACGTGCAAGTCACAGGCCGGCTGGCGTGTTTGTGAGGCTGTATCGGTTTTTGGTTTTGCCCCGGGACATCAAACAAGTCCAGGCCATTCCTAGACCGTTCCGGGCCAACTGGCTTCCACAGAAGGAATCCTAAGCATGCCTGACAGGCAATAGCCGTTGCGCGTGTTTCAAGGCACGGGCCAAACTCATGGCGGCTGCTTGAGCCACTGGGGCTGCGCGAGGCTGGAAGCAGTGGTGGCTGATGCCTCCGCACAGCAAGGCGTGCCATGGCTACAGCCAGGTCTGAAGGCACACAGGCACAGACCTGCCGGTAATCCAACTGCCTGAATGTGACAGGGCCGATGCACATGGCGGTTTGCAGTCATTCTCTTAAGATCTTGCGGGAGGATGTATTGGGCTCTCCTTGTTGAGGCTTGTTGGTAAATCCTGGCGTGGCGAGTTTGTGGTTGGTGGTGGCAATGGGTGGTGCGCCACTGTTCTGCGCTTGCTGCAACAGAATGTCTGCAAGGAGACGCAATCCCCTGGTATCCCGAACCCCGATTTTTGCACTCAGTGTTCGGCCACTCACGGTGCGCCACTTCTAGTGCAACATGCGTGTTTGTTTACTTTTTTCGAACCCCGAGCGTCCCGCATGGCAGGTTTGTCCCAATTGCCTTGGCCTGCGGATGGGCGCTCGAGGTATTGTAGCAGTGAGTTGGGGCAGACTTGGCTCAGCACCTGAACCTGTTCCATGTGGAAATCCATGGGGCTGAGAGGGATGATTACTCCTTGGAAAGCATGGTGAACCGAGCATTTCCGCCACACGGCAAGTTGTTCCCCAGCCCATCCCAGTCCCCCAACGCTTTTGCAACTGCCGCGCGGCCGAGGAACTGGCAGAATGAGTTCGGCATGGAGATTTGGCTAAGCATTCTGGGGGTCGCTGCTCATTGACTGTTGGCGTTGCACCGGGCTGTTGCGGAAGGGTGCAGAAGATGTGGTGTATTTGAAGGCGCTTCCTGTCATGCAGATAGCAAATACCATGCTTCTTCCGGCAGCTATTGTCAGCAATTCCGTGGTGCCTAGGAAAGTCTAGGAATGAGCTGCGTATTGCTTCTGTCGAGGAATGGGGTGGTGCGCCTCTTACAGCAGATGGCACTCCTTTCGAGATGCCCAACGGATGTGCCATGGTGAAGCAGGCCGTGCAACGGGGCAGCGCAACGGAGCACGGATGCTCAGGAGTCCTCATTCTGAAAGGTGGTGTTTATGACAGGGGACATGGACGGAACCCTGCAGATAACACACTTCCAAGGAACCCTGGTGTTGCAGGGTCCGGTCGCGAGACAGGGACGAGTGATAGGCGCTCATGTTTTGAACTCGGGGGTGGGGATTGATAAGCGGCAATAGGATTGACAAGAGGCCGCTTGTCGCTCTAGCCAGCATATCATGGTCCCAACCACAAGTCCCTATATCACTGTCTCAGGGCGTAAACCGAGTAATGATTCGGGACCTGACCCGAAGCTGCTGCTTGTAGTGTCACTGGTTTGGCCTGACGCTGGCAATATCGAGCAACCCCGCTTCAGTTGGGTTACGTAGTAGTGCGTGGGGGCACGTAAGAGTTGGCCTGGACTCACTATTGACAAAATCAAGTCAAGTTTCTGTACCATACCTTAATTTCCATGTGCGTGGTTGCTCTCAGATCGCGGCAATTATGTTCCATGGATTCAGTTCAGACAAGTTGTCATTCTGAGCCGCTTGCCTCTCATTTCATGGGGTCGCAGCCTTCAATGAGTTGACTGCCGCAAGGCGACGCCCCCGCGCCTTGGCTGGAAAGAAGTGCACCCGATTGGACATGCCCCATGACTAGTGACGAAGGATCTTGTTGACCGGCGTATGAAAATGCCTGTTCCACGCTCCAGATCATCCAGAGCATGATGCTAAATTTCAGTCAACTCAGAGGGCTTTGTGTGAGGGTTATGCAGCAGCTCGCCCGGTGGGATATGCTGGGATGGGCATCCCAACCTCCCAACCCTGGAAGCAGCCTTCCGGCGGTCATGTGCACGTCTTTGAGGAAGAGCCTCGCTCATGACGTTGAAAAGGTGGGGGTCTGGGGCGGGTGCTTCTGTCGAGGCCTGGTACCCAAATGTGCGTCACAGGGCCTGGGGCCGCTCGGCAGGAATTACTTTGGCACTAGGCTCACCAGGCTTGACCTTTGTTCCAGAAAATCTGAGAGGCTTACGGTTCGGGCTTTGCCATGATGGCTTGGCCATACCAAGTATCCCTGTCCTTTCAAGCATTGGGGTCATGACTCCATGTTGGGGAACAGTTTTCAGGGTCATGATGGTCATGACTCTTTCTTTAGGGTTGCCTCGCCTTGCGAGGAGATGATCCTGCTGCCGGACAGCTGGATCCACGCCACCTGCGGGCTCACAGAGTTCACCGTGGGAGCAGGGGGGTGGCTGGGCGGCCCCGAGCCTCGGCTAGGGAAACCGGCGCAGACAATTATATACTTCCATAGGGAAATGGTCATATCTGCTAGATCGGTACGTATGTTGGTTTTCGGTGGTTTCCTTTGAAAGGCTAGTCCTTGGTTGGCCAAGGCATGAGCTCAATCAAGCGAGTTGTTGGTCTTGCTTAGCATTGAATGAACCTTAGGTGACGCTGCTGATGCGCATTGTTCATTGTTGCTTTCGTGATTTCCCTCCACACTCTTTGCTTTGGGCTTTGATAAGCATTGTGCGGGAAGACATCCATTCTAGGCCCGACACGACCACGGCCACCCAGACAAGCCCATGGAGAAGTGAGCCAGAGATGCCAAGTTGAAGAGTCGCCTGGGTGGATTCCAGAGCAAAGTAGGACGGCATATGAAAGTCCAAGCAAGAGCCATGCAGATGCCAACATAATGTAAGTATTGTTGGAATGATCAAGCAGCCCACTCCCATAGAGTGTTGACAGTCAGCAATGAGGGCGCATTTCACAGGAAAGGCCTTAAGGGCCTGCAGCCTACCAAACACAAGTGCAGGTGTTGCCTGCTGCGATCCCTCACGTTCCTCTGCGCGTGGTGCATTGAAGCAACTTTTAGAGTTGGCTCGTGCCGTGGTTCAGTCGACCATGCGGTGTCAAGACTGCTGGAATTCGGTGTGCGATCCCAGCAGCAAGCAAAGTCTTGGTGATGCCAAGTAGGCCGGCTGCGCATGGCGGGAAAAGAGTCCCCGACAGTGACCATGGTCCATGGAGGTTTAACTGTTTGGGAACATGTGGCGGGGTGAAATCTGGCACAACTATGTCGCACGTTTTGCCTGCCGGCAATGTGTGCCGGAAAAGCGTTTCTTGCTGGACATTGCGGGAGACACATTCTGAAAGCATGCGCGCCAATCCATAGCGCATGCGTTTGCTGCGGGTATTCATTCGCTGCGGCAGACCGTAGGAGCTTTCCCAGCTTATAGGATTGTCATCCACAAGCATACTTCTCGGCTCCTGCAGTGACATGAGATTTGTTTCTTCTGCTTTGGCCCAACGGACTCCTTCGATTGACAGGCGCAGAGGCGCTGCCTTTGTCAAGATACCAGGCTCCTGCTGGGCTGTTTGGTTGCGGACGGGAGGCTGTATTGACACCTTTACCTTGCTTGCCCGAAGGCGAGCTTGAGTGTTGGTGGATGGTCATCGTGGCCTTGAGGTTGATCGTTTTCAGGCAAATGAACCTATCCACTTGTGCAGACGTGGCCGACGCGTAAATGAATCCGAAAAGATCTTGGCCTGATCGTTTCACACGGAAGTCACCAGCCGTGGCCCCTTGATTGATGCCCTGCAGCGCTTTGCAGCCAGGGTGCTTTCAGGGCAAATTCCCGGGCTGGCCTGCGGAATGGACTGTGGCTGGCATTCTTTTGGTGGTGATTGGCTTAAAGCATGCGCAATGTTCCGCGAGGAAGCCTCTGTTTATTCATAAGTGTGTGTGTGTGAGCATTGTATGTGATCTCTATTATTGAGTCCTTCACACCCACGTGTCCTTTTCTGTTTTCAATGAAGCCAATGGCATCACTTCGCGCGTTGCACGGGTACCTCGTGCCATCCGCCAGGTTCCCGAAACCGCTGGCACGCTGATTTGCCTGCAGCGCGAGGCCCGCTTTCTCTACGGCCACGAGGTGCCATCGGCTCCGGTGATTTTTCGGGGCAGATGTTATGGCGACTGCGCAAGTGTGAAGCCTGGCACGTGATCAGAGTTTGACCAAGTCTCGCAAGGCTTTTCCGTCAAGGACTTGGCTTGTTGAGGTTAAATTTGGCAGGCGCAGTATGCCAGGTGGTTGTGTAAGGCCACAACGCTTCCTGCCATTTGCTGAAGACAATAGGCTGCCTTTTGGAAAGCTGATGCTGTAAGCCGAAAAAGGGGTATCCTTTTGTCACTGGAGGCCTGTGCATGGGTCTGTACGTGCAGGTGCCCAAGACGGAACTCCCGCGGATTTCGATGACCTGGCGATGGCTGCATCCGAGGTGCGCAAGTCATCGCGGAGCGCGGGGGCATGGGGGCGCGGGGAGCGATCAGGTCGGCAATTTGCTCACTTCTCCCAAAGACATGGCATTCGAATTGGACTTTGATTTGTGGAGTGCATTGGCGGGCCAGCGGGGTGTCCCATCTTGGAGGGGATCCTTGGCTTTTGGGGGAAGACACCCTTATAATCCACCAGTTGGTCAATTCGGAGTCAAGATTGGCCTATTAGCATTGAATTAGATTTGTGCATTCACGCTTGGCAATGACTCGCTGGCTTTTCTCTCGTGAAGAGAGCATCGCATGGTTTTTGCTTTCAAGGCAGCCGTCAATTTGTGCTAGCGGCCAGGTACCAGGAGGAGATTGATGAAGTGAGGGAATGGATGCAGCATGACCTGCTGGAAAGAGTCGGTTGCAGAGGATTGATTGCTGGGTCCAAGGCAAGGGCTGGCATGGCTGCTGTGTTCACTTTGAGTGACAATGCCTGTTTTGTGAGTTGGTTTTTTGTTTGGCAACTGCCGCTGCTCGGGTTGAAACCATGCTCGTGAAATCAGGTTGTCTCTCTGATAGTGAGCCCGTTTTAGCATCCCCGGCACGCAGTATGTGGTTCATGCTTACATTTGAAGAATGACAGGAAGGTCTGAGACTGCGAGATGCTGCCTAAAGCCACGTTTCGTTTGTGCGCGAGCCATCTCAGGGCGACCATCCAGACCATGTTTGCACACGCAGAGGGATGCAGTTATCCTGACTACGAAGACGCCGCAGACCACTAGATGTTGGAACATATTTTGCCCGTGAAGCGGTGACAGCCAGGGGCAGCTGACACGGCACATGAGGAAAAAAAAAAAACAATCCCTTGAGGAAGCATCTAAGCAGTGCAGGAAAGTTCAATCAACTCCGCGGAACTGCAAAGACCCTACTTTGCCCTTATGAGCACCTCATATGGAGCTCTGGAGCATGGGTGCTTGCACGCCACTGGAAAGCAATATGAGTGACGCCGTTTGCGAACCTTTTCCCGCTGCCATGTGGACACAGGGCATCCTTCAGCCTTCCAAGTCATGGACTATAGTTTGGTTGACGCGTTTGCTTTTGAACCACTTTAGTGTGTTCATGTTCACCACCGGAACATGTGCTGCATAAGCTTCGCCGGGTGTTGTCAACGCTTGATGACAATTTCTTTGATTCCAGAGAGGGGAGGGTGTCGTCTGAGCAAACCCTTTAGTCGCCGTGTGGCGGGAGGGGGCACGCTTACTGTACTTGCAGCTGGCTGCAATCTGCAATCACATGACCCCATTGCCACAGATCTGCAACGGCAAGTTGTTGCTCGGTAGCCTTCCAAAAAACACACGCATGATATGTTTTTAAATGGCCGGTTGCCACAGCCATGGACAGCCCAAGCGAGATATTCCAGAGATGGGCAATGATTGGTGCGTGCAACATCACTTTATTACTGTTCCTGCTGTGTTTTTGGCAACATGGCGATGAATACGGCCTTTGGTGGATCTTTTCTTTGCATTGACCGTAGCTGCTCGGAAATTGCTTCTTGCTGACTTTGCCAATTTCCCAAACAAAGGACGGGGCAATCCGTTGATATTGAAAAGAACTCCAAACATTTGGACGGGCAACGGATCTCATGCCTCTGTGGCCTCCCAGGCTTTGCAGCAAGGAAGTCACACGTCAGGCCATCCGAGGTTGATTGGGTGACCGGGCGTCAGACTGTGACTCATGGGCACCCGCAGGGAATGTTTGTGTGCGTTTAGGGGGATTTGCTGTTTGATGAGCCTGCAGAGGACGACGCTTTCTCTTTGCATTGAGCCAGGAGCTGCCTGCAAACACGTAATTATCACTCGTTTGGCAGTTCCACCTGCATTCATGCATGTTTGTCCAGCTCTTGGTGCGAGTCCAGGCGACATGCAATCGAATCAACTGAGTCAACTAGAACCCCCTCACGCAGGTCACGCCAGAGGGGACCTATATGAGAATGTCCGGCAATTTTGGAGAGTAGCCCTTTGCCGTGTGCTCCAAGGCTCCAGCCACCTTTGCTGGGCCCATCAGCTGCAAGAAGCCATGCGGGGTCCAAACAGATGAGGCAAAGAGCCTGTCAGCACCAGCCGCACTAGCAATGGATAGAGCAAGCTCTGTAGATGGAGCTTCTGGGTTACTATACTTGCCAGATTGCTTTCCATGCCTTCCTTTGTTGAACCAACAAAGCATACCTTATGTCAGCGCCCCAAATCAGATGGCTTTCCTCGCGTGCAAGCAGCATGCAGAACAACATTTCAGTGAGAAGTGTTGTATGCTTTCAAGCTGTTCAATGAAGAGGCCTTGGAAACCCACTACCCGCCTCAGCAAACCGCACCTCGGATCCAGCACTGGCCGTGCAGCCATGACGCGACTGCACCCCGCGCTGTTGGAGAGCAGTTTCTTCATGACTTTCAAGAGCCTGGGGCAGCAGTCAGCGGGGCTTGGTGCTGGGGTCCTTCAGGGCATCTGGAGGGGCAGGAGAAGCGGAGCCGAATCAAGGGCGCAAGTGAGACCTAAGTGGCACAATGCATCAGAATGCAGCAGAACGGCGTTCCCCATCTTCAGTTAGCCGCCGCCCTTGCGCTCGCATGCAAGGCATGTTGGCAATAAGACCTCCTGGGACAGGAAACCGTGGATCATGAGCCGCCTAAGAGGAAAATCCGCCAAGCAATGACTTCAGAGTAGGCTTTCGGGTAGGTGGCAGAAAGGCTCAAAGAACATCTTGACCAGTTGGAAGCTCGGCTTCAGAGTCAATGGCTCAAAGTTCCTGGCTGGGATGGAAGCGGAGAGAGCAAAACGAAGTGGCATTTCAATGCAATCATTTGCAAACTCGGCACTGTCGTAGGTGCGAAGAGTAGCATGGCTCAGCCCAACCCGGCTGAGTTGGCATGCCTGTGCATCTTCGAAGGTCCCAAATGCTTGTTTCGAAAGATGTGGCTGGATGTTTCTGGCTTACATGCGCATATCCCAAAAAAGCTAGACGGCCTTTCATCCAGCTGGAGCTTCGGGGGGGGGGATCCCAAATGCCAAAGGGAACCTTCCCATTTTGAGGCTTCCCGGCCATGCGGTGTCGAGCTGTGCTCAGGAAGCAGCGCAACGAGCTAGAGGCTGAGGCCATCAAGGACGTCAGTGCAGAGCTGCAGGGGGGGGGGTGGCGCCCTTTCTTGGGGATTTCAACGATGTCCCCTCTTATGAGACGCACCCGTTTGCCACCGCTCCGATCTGGAGCTTGGAAGGGGGGCTTGCAGGGGATGCGCTGATTTCGGGTGGATTCGCTGATTCCGGCGAGCTGCGGTCAAGTCAAGTTTACTTGTGATGAGGGGTCCCTCAATCGGAGTGGTTTAGCATGTGAAGCTAAAGCTGCCAAAGTTCCGACCCGGCGCAGCCATCTCGGTACAAGCTCCGAAGGCCACTGGCTGGAGTCGCCTTTACAGACACCAGACACTCGCCTGCGCACCTTGTTTCGACGCCTCAGCCTGCAGCGCTTGGCATCATGCACACCGCTGCAGTTGAGGTTGGCTCCTTTTCATGACTATCATTGTTGTATTTTTGGCTTCGGCCTGCTCACCGCAAAGATGTTTGCCGTTCCTCAAGCTGGCGCATGCTTGCTTCCCCTTTGGTAAGTTGTTGCTTTTTGAAAGCAACAAAACAGCGATACAGAGATGTGTTGTTGTTTGCGTCGCCCAGGCTACACAAAACATGCAAAGTTTCAATCCTCGAGCCGGGAGACTTCTCCTGGTTCACCACGCAGTGGTTCGGAAGGCCACGGGGCTGTCCTTGAGAAACGCGCCAAAAACGGCCCCCAAGAGGAAGTATCCATGGGCATCCATTGTCCCATGTGAGGGGAATCCTGCAATTGTGGGGCGGTCAGGCCGTGAATCCAAACAGTTTTCTAATCTGAGGTCAGCATTGTGATATGCGTCCCAAGCAAGAATTCGACGAACATGTTTCCTGCCGGCTTTGCTCCACACTTTGGTATAGGTGATACATTGGCGTGCCGTCGTGCCTTTGATTAAGCAAACAGGAGAAAGAAAAGGGCCACCCTGGAAGGCTATGAGGTTCACGACCACGACGCCAAGACCTTGACCAGCACTACGGTGCCGTCTGACGCCGCGACCGATTTCGAAGAGCCGCACGCGATTCAGGCGGGGCTGGTGTTTTGCAGGCCAGAGCCTTTGACAGGATCGTTTTTAATCAATTTGCGCTTATTTCCAGGTTGAGGTTGCACAACAGGTGTGGGGTTAGAGAAACGAATCGCGGGGCTGCAACCCATGGAGGGTGTCCATTGCTCAGGCGCCCTACGTGCCGCAGCGAGTTGACACTAAGCTCACCAAGGCAAAGGGACTTGCACTGCAGCGGGAGCTTCTGCAAGCATTCCAGTCCCCAGGACTGCCAAACAACACTTCAACAGTGCCAGATAATTACCAGGCCTATGTCTTAGCTTGCCAGCATCGGGGCAACCCCCATGCGAAGGGGAGTTTAGTTGGTTTTGTTTGGAGTTGCGCGAAATCCTGAGGATTTCAAAAGAGACTGCATGAGCTTGAGCGAGACCATGCGTCCCCCAAGAACAAGAATGTCAAAACGGCAGCCTACCGCATCGAATTCATGAAGCTGGTTCGCTCCCGGCAGAGAGAGATCATCCCGTACTATGGTTTTCCCGCCACCGAAGAAGGCATCGAGGCCATGCTGGTGGCGCTGCAAGAGCACAAGGACGATCCTGACGTGTTTCTCACTTGCAATCCCACCTTTTGCTTTTCTTCTCTTAACTTGGTCCATTTGTAGCATGTCTCTTTGCCAAGCTCAACTGAGTAGCAGGCCCATTTTTCTCAAGCTCCAAAGCAGGTTTTGATTTCCAGCTCGCTAGGTTCGTGAACGAGGCGGCCATCAACGAAGCCCTGGGCCTGGAGACGAGGCGCCAGGGCAAGGCGGAGAAGATCAAGGTCTGCGACGTCAGGCCCAAGACCTTGCGCGGCACCTCCGAGATGCTGCGCCTCATGCCCCTCGAAATTTGTCAGGTGCGAACTCTTTGTTTTGTCCAGTTACGTCCACTCCTCCCGACCTCGAGCGAAGCAAAGTAGCAAAGGAAGGAGGGCCCTTGAACCCATTGCACCAAGGTGAAAACAAGGAGGCCACATGCATGACAAGCAAATATGGGTCGGGCCTCCAATTATTGAGATTGAACAAGGGGTGTCCTTTGGCTTCCTGGGAATTTGAGCAAAGACCGAACAATGATGAAAACAGACGCTTGCCTCATTGCCGTTACCTGAGGCTCAGCAAGCTCAGCAAGGCCACCTTCCAACAGAGCATCGACAGTCTCAAACAGGCGGCAGATTTCCGTGCCGGCCGATGTGGCTACGAAGATGACACCAGCCTGTGGCCCGTGGAGTTCTACGAAGACCCGGAGGGCTACTATCATCTTCATGGCCGCGACAAGCTGGCACTGAGTGTCCACAAGCAAGTGTTGCCCCTCTACGGATTTACGGCTGATAAGCATGGAGTACAGGAGATGCTTCAGCTTTGTGCAAAGTACTTGTCGGACCCAGAGTTTGCTCACCTCTTTGACTCTGTGAACGCCAAGCTGGGCATGTCACCAAGCGCCTGCCAACGCTTCCGCCAACTGATTGCTGGCTATGAGCCACTGCCAACTGGCAAGGCAAGGTCTTGATTTCATTTCTGGCCGTCACGAGCCAGTGAAGTCTTGGCAAGTTGAGGTCTTGATTCTAATACAGTCTTCAAGGATTTGCAGGGCCATCTCGCATACACACACACACAGCTTCACATTCAGCTTTTGCTTTCTCCCGTAGATCCATCAGCCCGGTTTCACCCAAAGCCGACCACGGAGTTGGCGATGCTGCACCGCCCCGTGCGTCACAATGATTCTGTGCCGCGCCGTGCCTCGCAGCGAAAAGAGTTAGCCATGGTGTGTCCTAGGGATTGCACTTTTCACTTCAACCCCGGTCCACTGGAGATTCATGTTTGTTCCTGATTAGTTTATGACTTATTCTCACCCACATCCTAGTACGGTGCTACCTGTTTGGTGGGTTGCACATGCCTGTTTGGGCGGGTCTTTTGCCGCCGTCAGGAAGGGCTAGAAAGTCCACCGCGAGTGCCGCTCAATGATGACACTCCTTCAGTGGCTTGGCAGTGTGTTCGGGCTCGACTTATCGATTCTTCCAGATCGGCGTTGCGCTGTCGCGAATTGTTTGTGAGCATCATTGAAGCACCGTCATCGTGCGTTCAGCCCTTTTTTCCAGAAAACGCTTGTCGTAGCAGCAAAGTCTTTATCCAGCGGGGGCCACCTAGTCTTGAGTTTTATGAGGTGGCGTGCTTTTCGACTGCACACTGATTGCTGCTGATTTCCCCCCCCCCCCCTCAAGGTTGTCAAGGGTCAGAAACAGCATGAAAGAGCAGTTTTTGGGGGTCCCCCTGGCTTAGCCCCCCGTGGATCCCCCCCATGCCCGCCCTCTTTGGTCCTTCGCGGTCCTTTTGGTGGCTTAGCCAATGAGGACTGCAATAGGAAGTAAAAGGAAATTCGGTTTTTGTGCTGGAGAGGGCTAGGGTTAGTCAGCTTTTTTTTATTAGGGGGGCTGGCCTTGGAGGGGGGGTGCCTTTGTGAAATTGTCAAACCTGACTTGCTTACAACAAGTTGTGTATTAAACAATGGGAAGGAGAACATTGCTGGCACATTAGCGCTGGCATTCCTGGGCCAACGTGCTCCTAATTCGGGACCTGCGGGGTAGCAATGGGGAGAGAGAGAGAGAGAGAGAAAAAAAAAAGTGCGGTGAGTAATTTCCTTGTCGCGCAACTTTGTCTGGGTTTCCAGTCTTGGTGAGGGGATTCATGGGGGAGCGGACTAGCATTAATCAGTTGGGCGTGTTGCGTTTACGGGCAGGCTGTGTCAAGCTTGCCGGCCCAGGAAGCCAACGAGGACATGTATGATAAGCACCTCGGCATGCGCAGCTATGGAGCTGGCTGATGAAGTAGAGACGGCTGTGAATATGATCTTTGGGTTGCCTTCGTGTCCTGCCGGCGCTTCGTTGGCCAGACGGGCTTCCATACAATTCATTCTTATCATCGTCATCGTCATCTTCGTCATCATCGTCATCCTCACCGTCCTCGTGCTCGCCGTCGTCATCATCATCGGCATCGTTGTCCCCTTTCTCATTGTCATGATCGTCATCGTCTTCGCCTTCATGGTTATGCTCGCCGTCGTGGTCGTCGTCGTCGCCGCCGTCGTCGTCGTTCTCGTCGTCATCGTCATCATCGTCATCATCACCATAACCATCATAATCATTATCATTGTCGTCCATGATCATCTGTCATCCTTGTGTTTTCACAGATGGTGATCAAACACTTTAAAGCCTCGCCCTGTTTGCATTCCGTTTGTTCGCTTAGACTCATGCGAGTCTTGCTGTGACAGTTCTCTGGCTAAGGCTCGCCGGCACAGAAGGCGCGTGGAATCGGCAGCATGGGTTGGCACGCGCGTTAGGAGAGCCGGGTGAGGTTTTGGCCACAGACATGGTCCATTTTTTGGGATTGCCCCTGGCCTCCCTGATGCAGCCAACTACCAGTGTATCAAACGTGACAGGGTGATGACAGCTGCGCTCGAGGTTGAACAGGTCTTCACGTCCAGGTGGAACAATTCTGTCCATGCAGAACATGACGTGGGCGTGGAAAGCAGTCTACTGATGACGTTGATTGCGAAACGGATAGTGCAAACCCGTTTTGCAGAAGTGCCACAAGCTTTGCAACACTTCGCTGGCATGTCCAGGCCTGCATGGGGAGACCGAAAACCACGAAGCCTGCGTGTGCATGCCGGGCTCGCTGCACCCTCCTGAAGCTCGGAAATTTGGGCCTCGATCCGAGTCGGAAAATGCATGCAGATCGAAGCGTCGCATTCCACCCCCGACATTGTCAAAGGAAATTTAGAAGGAACTTCGGTAGTCCTGGCGCTAAGTGGAGGTTAGCTGTCGTGGAGAAGTAGGTAGATCTCAAAGATAGATCGATACGTAGATAAGTAGGTAGACACATAGGTAGATAGATAGACTGATAGATACATTTCTAGATAGATAGATACATGCATGGGGTGGCAGATGCTAATGTAGACAGATAGGCAGGCACATGGAAAGATAAGATAGATTGATTGGTAGATAGATGTCTTGATCGATCCGTTGATCGATAGAGAGACAGACAGACAGACAGACAGACAGGAAGATCAGGCACATGGATAGTAGCTGGATAGCTAGATAGCTAGATGGGTAGCTAGATAGACAGAGCAAGAGAAAGAGGAAGACAAAGTAGTATGAACTTTTTCGAAGCAGTTTCAGCAGACAACGAGAGGATAAGAGAGAAACATAAATGGACACAGAAGACAATGATAAAGAGAAAGAGAAAGAGCAAGATAAAGAAGCGAAAGGAAGAGAAAACTGGAAAGAATGAGAGAATAATAAAAGACACAGAAGAAGCAGGGAAAGGGAAAGAGACAGAGACAGAGGCAGAAAAAGAGAGAGAGAGAGACAAACAAGACGAGGAAGGGACAGAAAACTATAGTTCATATATATATATATATATATATGTATATATTAGACACGTGCCAACCGGCGCTGCTGGCTCTATTGGTACATTGTCCGTGGTTTCCTGCGTCCATGCGATTTTGTCAGTTTCCGCGCTTGGTCAGAAGGGACACAGGTTCTTGCAACACTTGTCAGACAATGGAATCTTCACAGACAGGACTGTAGCTTGTGCCAGAGGGTGCCGTTTGTCTTGTGATTTGGTCGTCGCAGATGAGTTTGTTGAGGTTTTTGGGATTTGCCCGAGGCGGCCCTTCGGTTCATACTATTCCTTGAGGGGGGTAGCAAAAAGGCACCAGACTTTTTGGAGGTACGCCCCGCCAGAGTGTCCCTGGAGGTTGGTCCACCATCAGTTGATGGAATGTTTCAGGCTGGCGACTCTGAACAAATGAAACGATGTAGGTGATCAAACCGTGCATGGCTGATCAACTGAATCCGACGTATCAGGGGCATATGCTGGTAGTCTTCAGTTGTTGCACGTAAAAAGGTAAGGCAACTAGTACTGCTGCGTTGCAGGCAAAAAAGGCATGACTGATAATTGCATGGATAGAGTGGGGATATGTGTTCAGCCGAGGCTGCTGTAGGGGCGAGCCAGGAGCCAAACAAAACAAGCCGAGGAGAAGACAAAAGACTTGAACGCGGAGGCAGAGGAAGCAGAACGAGGACCGGGAGGGGACTGGAAAGAGGCGGCCTAGAAGACTATTGACCGCCTGTCCGACAGCCATTTTTATTTTACAAAGCATCATCGATAAAATCCCAACGCACCCCTTGCTTTTGACCTTTGCTCAAGCATTGTTGGAAGTCATACGTGCGAGTTCTGCATGTCGCGCATGTTGCAAGCGCTTTTTGCATTAGGGGGAAACGACGCCACATTGCATCGATTGAACTCTTAATTTCTCCATGCAAGCATATGTTTTTGATTTTGCTGCTCAGCAGTGTGCTTCGCACACGCCGGAAGTGCATGATTGAACACACTAGGTTCTCAAAAAGGTGCACGATCTCCGTGTCATGCCCCTGCTTGGTGACTTCCGTTGAGGAGCCTGCAAAGGTCGTTGTTTTCCTCGCCCACGCCCCTGCCCCCTCCCCCCAAGGCCGAGGGATGCCGTAGGCTGTGAGTATACAGGAGATTCCAGTCCCCGCGCGTAAAGTTGAGGCAAGCTAGCTGCATCCTCAAGATCTGCTGCTCCATATGGGCAGCTGCCTCTTATTTCTTCTTTGCTTCAAGCCATCTATGTAGGGGTTTAGTGGGATGGCCCAAAACCTGGCAGCAACGATGTTTCACACACAAACAACCACTCGGCGCAAGGATACCTAGCT